AGACCAGAACCAAGGACGTAGAGGGATCGGACGACCTTTAAGTAAAAACGATTTCTGTCCGCCTCCTGTTCTCCTAATCGCCGCGCTCCGAGCCTCGCCTGTCCGCCGCGGCCGCGCGCCGCCAGATGCTCGAGAGAAGTTTTTCCGACGGCGCGTGGCCAACAGCAGCATCGCGTAGGACTTGCTGAAGAGCCCGCGCGCCTTCAGAGGCTGGGAGACCCCCCGCGCGGCGCGCCGCGTTGGTGGCCCGGTAGGCGGCGCGCGCGCCGAGCGCTCCAAGAACCACCATGTGCTCCTCGCACTCGGCGTCGTTGATGCCGATCCAGAGTGGCAGGTACCAGTCGCGGAGCATGTTCAAAGAGCTGCCGAGCTCTCTTCTCACCGCGGCGCACCGGGAGTAATAGTGCTCGATGCTGTCGCGCCCACAACCACACCCCAAAACGCAGAAATCATGCGGTCCATCACGGCACTGAAACCGTCGAGCAGTGCACCAGCCGTTCCAAACAGCGCGGAAAACGGCAGCGGTGACTCGGGGCGGCACCAGGCGCCCAAGCGCCCGGACATGACGGCAGAATCTGTCTGCGAGCACCACGGGCGTTGGCAGCCCAGGCGCCCGTGGAAACTTCCACCGTTCCAGCTTGTCTCTGATGCGCAGATGGATGCGGTCCGGGTGAGCGCACCCGCCGATGCACCTCCCGCTGGAATGAATGCTGGGCCTGCTCCCACGCCGCGGCTGGCAGCGCCTCGGGGCCCTGTCCAGTCAGCGCAGCGACATCTCGTTCGGCCGTGACGCTCTGTCGCTGAAGCTGCCACTCGTTGCGCGCGAGGACTCTGGGGGCGGAAGCGTGCACCCCGCCTGCCCACCGCGCGAAACGCAACATGTACTGCGATCGATTCCACTCCCCTCGAAGCTCAAGCGTCATCCGCTCCAGGCTGGTTCTGTTGAGCCTCCGATCCTCGCGCGCAGCAAAGCGGAGCTGCGCCGCTTGCGCCAGCGTGGCCAGCGGCCCGAAAACCTGCGGCATGCCGAAAATTCCGGTCAAGCTGCCACAGATCTTCCAGCATCGCCCAGTTTCCTGGGCCAGGAGCAGCTCGTCGCAAGGCTCACCCCTCCAGCGCACCGACAGCGTCGTCCACGTCCGCGATCTGGGCAGCGAAACTCAACACTGGGAGCGCGCATGCACTGTAGACACAGGTGGCAAAATGCAAGCCCAGCGCCGGCCACGGCCATCCGGACACGCGGTCCTGGAAACGCGCAGCTGCACGATCCCACTCCTTGCCAACCTTCCCAGGGCCGATGACGCACCCGAAGTAGGTGGCCTCGCGGGGCAGGGGGCCTGGACCAATACGGCGCAGGCTCCCTGACCACGGCACGTGCTTCCTCCAAACTGTCTCCCCACAGTGGGATGCCACTTGTCATCTCCAGATTGACTCGCATGCCTGAGAGGCGGCCGAACCCTTCGAGCGCGGCAACAAGGATCGGCAGTTCCTTGGGCACGTCGTCTAGGATGATACCCGCGACATCGGCGAACGCGCGTACGAGGCAGCCGCCGCCGAGTCGGAGCTGGGGCGCGCGCAGGAGTGGATCCATGCAGGCAGCAAACACCAGAGGCGACAGCGGACGGCCTTGGCGGATGCCCGATCCAATGGCAAACCCGCTCCATAGGCGACCAGCGAACGAGATTGAGCAAGCCCCGTCCGCGTAGAAAGCTCGGAATGCAGTCGGGGCCTCTTCCGGCACGCCGTAGCCGCGCAAGCACGAAGTCGTGCGCCGCGCTGGGGAACGCGGCGCGGGGGTCCACGAGCACTACCATGCCCTGGGCACACTTGGCCGCGGTCCGAAGAGCGCCCGCCTCCAGCTCGATGACGTTCAACATCATTGAGCGGCCAGGCAGGAAGCCGCGCTGGGGGTCGGAGACCCACGCTCCGAGCCCCTGCTCCCGCCTCCGTTTGCACGCCGAAGCGAGCAAGCGATTCGACGCGCCCACGAAGCATAGTGGTCTCGTGCTTCCGGCTTGGTGGACTGCGCCTAGCACTGTGTCCATGTCCCCTGCTTTCTTCGGAATGCAACGGAGCACGCCGAGGTTGACGGAGCCTGTCCCGTCGGGATCATCTTGACACGCCTCTCTGATATCGTGCACTGCGGATATCGGACCGGGGGCACGTAGCCACACCCTGCGCGTCGACAGCCAAGCTACCGAGACGCTACCACAGACAAGCGGGGATACCATCAGGGCCAGGCGCAGAGTTAGACGCCGCGCGAACAGCCCGCGCAATGTCTGCCCTGGTGGCGCGCCAGAACTCGTTGCCCCGAGGCAGCGGGCTGCCTTCCCAGGTGGGCGCCGCCTGGCGCGGCCACGCTGACAAGGCATCCTGGTCGATATCTTGCCTGCCGAATACGTGACTCCAATTCTGGGCCAGCGTGTCGGCAATCTGTTCCGGGTCCGTGGCCACCGAGCCGTCTGGCTTCTGGATAGCACGGAGTTGGGCGGTACCCCCCGGCTTGAGGCGACGAGTCTTCATGGCAAGTGACTCTCTGTGAGCTGCCGCGGAAGCGACCGACATGCCGGGCTACTCGTAGCGCAGACTGGCGACGTCTTGGCGGATGATGTCCTTGATGCCCTCGATGGCCGCTGAAGCTCCCCGGTGCAATTCTGGGATGGATAGCCTGCGAGCGAGATCTGGAAGTTCTCGCACTGCCCGCTCCACCGCCAGTGGCCCCCCCTCTTCGGCCCCTCGCAGGCAGCGTATAGCGGCGCTCAAACGGTCTTCCACTAAGGTCGCCTCGGAAGCGGTTGTTCCACGAGCAGGCTCCTCCATGCAGTTCTGGCCGATTGCTCGCTTGAGCAACAGCAGCCGGCGGTGGGCAGCGTCGCGCGCGCTGTCCTGTCGACGAAGGTCTTGCCGGCGCAGCGTCGCCCTGGCCGCCCACCCTGTCGAGCGCGATGGCGCTGTGGGGATTGGCCGCCTTCTGGGGGTCTCCTGTCCCGGAGTGCGCCTGGCGGTCTCAATCGGGCGGCGGCGTGAAAGTCTGCTGCACCAGTCGAGCGCCGCGCGCGTCCAGGTCCGGCGCAGCTGGTCCGCGATATGCCCAGTCCAACCACGAGGTGCTCGAAGACGTCGCACGGGCGCACTCTGGTTGAAAGACCTCGTAGAAGCCGAGCGGCTCGACAAGCGCAGCGGCCCATTCCCGGCGTTCCTCCGCGTCGGAACCGGGGGGCCATGCAGCGTCGGACAGATTGTGTCTGTCCCTTGTTCCGCGTGCAAAATTCCAATCCCCAATCAGCATAGTGGCAGCCCGGTCTCGCGGTCGACGATCACGTATCACCGAGGCCCTGATTGCGGCCCGCTCGGCGGACGCATGCCCAGTAGGGAGATGCAACACGGCGGTGTCCAAGGAGCCTATGGCGCCGTCCAATCTCAGGATATCTGCCCGTCCCAGCGTGGTTTCCACCCAGGTACCACGGGAGGCACCTCCAAACTTGCCCAGGAACGCGGTCTTAACAAGCATCCCCGCCCCGCCGACAGATTGGGATCCATGGGGCCACCAAGTAGCGACACTGTTCGGAAACTTGGTCACAGCCGCGGCCCCCAGCGTGCCGCGCGTCTCCTGCAGAGACAGAAAATCAGCAGAGCGCAATCCATTCAAGCAGCGCGCCCTCTTCTGCCGGCGCCGCTTGGGGTCGCGCGCAAAAGAGGGCCTGCGCGTTCCAGCTCCGGCCCACCACGTCACCTGAGCACGGGGAGCCACGAGGGCGATGCGTGCAACGCGAGGCAGGCCCGCTCGGCGGCGATGGCGATGGCTGCGGCGACGGAGGTCTGGCCGACGGGCTGCGTCGGCCTGCGTCGGGCTGCGTCAGGCCAAATCGACGGGGGTCATGGAGCCGACGCGGGGCCGTCGGAAGCTCACGGGGGGGAGCATCGTGGGATCGTCGGGTGAACGTCGAGGGGTCGTCGGGGGGCCGGGAAGTCTGCGTCGGGCTGGGTCGGTCAGTGCTGAGCCCCGTCGGGCCGCGTTGTCGGGGGCTGTTGCGGCGTCGTCTGAAGCTCGTGGCGGGGCCGCGGTGGGGTCGTCGAGAGGCCGTCGAAAGGACGTCGGGGGGCGGGGCGGGGCCGTCGCCAGGCCGTCGGCCTTCCCGAAGTGGGCGTGTCGAGGGTGAGCGTGATCGCGGAGCCCAGGATGGTCGCCGAATGGAGCCCCCAGCGGAGGCTGGGTAAGAACAGGCAGAGGGTTGCGTAGAACCGGCGGCAGAGCTCGAGGCTGCGAGCCCCATGGTCCGAGACGCGGTCAATGGCTGAGCTGGCAGAGAAGATGTCTGAGTAGCAATACCAATAACCAAATTTGCGTCGGCCCCTGAGCCTGGAGAAATCGCCGGAGTGCGATTGGTGAGAGATGCCCCCGAGGAAGACATGGACGTGCGCGGCATAGTACGGGAACGGTTGAAGGCCCAGATTGGGGTTGAATTCGACGTTGGCCCAACGTCCCACCATCGGAAGAGGACGTGCTCGCGACGTCTCTTCTGGACGTCGCCCCGACCGCCGCGCCCATCAGGCCCGCGCCGCCCGCTGGGCGCGACGACGATGCCCCCGTGCACGGGGCCCTGGAGTCGCTTTACATTCGCGAGGCTCCCCAGGCGGAAGTTGACTATACCAGTGGGCCCCCCTGACGCTGAGAGTTGGCGCGACCAGGGGTTCGGAGGGGGCTCGCCTGGCAGCGCGTGCTGCGACCATGCGAAGCCCGCCTTGTCGCCAGCAGCGCGCATAACTTGCGCGAGCAGCTCGAGTGGACGGGCGCCCAGGGGGCCTGTCAAGCGTAGCTGCCCAGATGCTGGTGCGGTTGGGCGCCCAATGCGTCTCGCCCGGTCGCGTGCAACCACGCCTGATAGGACTGCGCCCAGCGCGCGCGGGCGAGCCCAAGGCCGCCCGCCACGGGAACGTCGCTCACGAAGCTGGATGGCTGCGCCGCCCGGGTCGCCCCGCAGGGTCGTCGTCAACTCGGCCCCCCAGTCCGCCGCGGTAGCGGTGGAGTGCCAGATGGCAAGGGTCGGGGAGACCAGGAGGACGTCGTCGTGGAAGTTCCGGAGGTGAACCAACACTCGTGGACAAGTGCGCTCCATGACGCGCGCCCCCTCGTCTGCCAGGAGCGCCCGTTTGCCGGCCAGCGCAGCGGCGAGGGGCGGATCGTCGCGGAGTTGTCGGATGAAGAAGCGCGCGCCCAGGTCCGAATATGCACTCCGTTCAGCGCGCGCCTTGAAAAGGGCGCGGCGGACGTCCGGCACGGAGCCCAAGCTGCGGAAAGGCCCCTCCCATCGAATGCCATGCTGCGACGCCGGCGGAGCGAGAGCCCGCCGCGCCAACAGCGCGGGCTGCGCCCCGACGCCCACCCAGATCACGCGGGACGGGCACTCGGAATAGAGCACCGGGCGCCACAAAACCACTCGCGCAGGTGCCTCATTCCCAGCCTCCGTGAGACGAAAGACCGAGAATGCCTCGTGGACTGTGGCCGCCGAATTGCGCGCGGTGGCGGTGATGGTCGCCGGCTCCTGCAAGTGAACCGCGGCCGCCGCGAGGTGCGACTTCCGGCCGCTCAGAAGGGGGTTCCGCCAGGATCCCTCGAGCACGTCAGCCTCGCCAAAATCAGGTAAAGGCCCCCGCTCGCATAGCATTCGATGCCACCCAGGAGGCGATGGAGATGCTCTGATTCCCGCGGCGCCCACAGCACGACGCCTCCAACCCTGAGCGCGCTCAGTGCCGCCAGGGCTCGCTCTTTACTCTTCGCCATCTCCTCCATCAGCTCCCTGGCCGACCCCGTTCCAAGACGCCCGTTTTGCCCAGGACAGCCAGATGCACATGCGTCCGACAGCCACAGGGCGGACGTCCACTGCCACCCGCTGCTCCAATGCCAGAAGAAGTTCCAAATACGGCGGTGGCGCATAACCTCCTATCCTGCGGCGATCAATGAGTACTGCGGGCAGGTGGTGATGACACTCCGCGGCCTGCACCCCTGCCTTGCACGCGTCAGACCACGAGGCGAGCAGCTTCGTGACCGAGAACACCAAGTGCGCCCTGCGAGCCCTGTCCTCGATGTCCTCCACCGTAGGGCACGCCCCAGCAGTGGGCTCCATTCCGAGACGCCGCCAGCAGGAGGACGACGCAGCGAAGACGTAGTCGACAGCTACCAGGAAGGCCTTGAGGTTGGGCCACGAGTGGAAAGCCTGGTCGCCCGCGGGGAGGCGCAGCGCTGGGTCGGAACCCTCAGCCCGTTTACTCACCAAAGCGTTGATGAAGTCGAAATTGGCAAGGACTGTTTCCTTCAACCACTCTGTCCATCCACCCACCACCAGCTGCTCGACGCGCCCGGCTAAGAGTAGAAGGTAGCGCTGCTGGCAATCCAGGCGGAGCTCTGGCCAGGGCGCCCAGCACTGCTGCCGGTGGCACTGCTGGCGCGGCAGCCCCGACCTCGTCAACGTCGAGGCCGTTGTCGTTGATGCCGAGGCGCTCGGCGCTCTGAGTCAGGCCAGTGCCGTCGGCCAGGGGGTCATCGGCGGCCGATGCTGCCATGTCGAGATCGCAGAATGAGAAGAAACGCGCGCGAGGCTGCGCGCACAGGGGCGCTGAGTGTGGCGGTCTGAATGTGGTAGTGAGTGAAGCGGCCGTTCTAGCCTCGAGCAACCTGAGCCAACAAACTTGAGCACGTTGCCCACATATATATACAGGTTTGTACATACTTACATGCATGCATACTTATATTTGGATACACCCATGCATTGCACTACAATACACTACATTACCCAACATTACAGTACACTACATTCCAGTTCAATACAACGCACTACCGCACAACACAATACAATACAACACGTTACCGTACATTACAATGCATTACATTGCTTGCATTACATTACATCACATGGCATCGCACTGCGTTGCTTACATTCTACACAGCAACGCAATACATTGCATCGCAACGCAATCCAACCCATTCCATTATACAACGCATTATATCACGCTGCGTCACGTCGCATGTCATTCCATTTAATCATCTTACATCATATTACATTGCACTCGGATCCGCGGCATTGAACTCCATACCGTTCCATTCCAGTCAAGTCCATTGCATTACATTACATTACATACATTACATTACAGCACACTACTTTCTATTAAATTACATTACAACACAACCCAACCCATTACATTGAATGACATTACACTACATCGTTATATTGCATCACATCACATTATTCCACATACGGACATGCAGACCTATTATATGCATACATACATGCATGCAAGCATGCATACATGCGTATACATATATATACACATTGCATTAACCTACAGCTCGTTACATTACCTTACATAAAATTACACAACAGCATAACACTGTACGCTACATTACAATAATGTACACTACATCACGTTTTATTACATCGCATCGCGTTGCATTACCCTGCATTACATTACCTTGGATCACAAAACAAACCGAAATCGTGTATTACATTACAACACAATGCAATTCATACCAACCCATTCCGTTACATTACACTAAACCACATTACACCACACTGCATTACATCGAGCTGCATTGCAGGACGTTGCGTTACCTTATACCACCTTACATTACCTCACAATACATTGCAACACAACACCATACAAACCATTCCCTTCCAGCCAGTTCCGCTCTGGCACATTACATCACACTGCCTTACATTACCATACGGGGCAATACGTTACACTACGTTGCAACACATAACAATATCTTACATTACAGTACACTACATTGCGCTACACCGCATTACAGTGCAATACATTCCATTACCATATATTACATTACCCTTACATTCTAGCACTCTACAATACATTCAGTTCCATGCAATTTCATTACATCCCGTCCCACTACATTACATTACATTGAACTACAAGATAGCATATTCAATTCCATTACTTTCCAGTCCATTGCATTACATTACATTCCACTAAACTACATTACGCACACATTGCATCGCATTGTATTACATTACAATACATTACATTGTATTACACTATACTTCCTGCATACACACACACACTTATATTCCGCAACCGTGCCGGTGGGCACGGAGTGGGCATGTCCTCAAGTCCTTTGCCCAATCCCCTGAGCGTCAGTCCGCACTCCTCAGGAGTCTTTCAAGGACCCGGGCGCTAATGTATCAAATCTCTCAGCCCTTGGCGCCGCTTGGCGCCGCTCCCAGCTTGACCTTTTCGGAGCCAAGAGGGCCCCCAGACTGGCCAAGAGGGCCCCAAAGAGTCCCCGAAGACGGCCAAGAAGGCCCCCGAGGCCCAAGAGTCCCGACGCTTCCAGACGGCCCAAGAGGCCTCCAAGAGGGCCCAAACAGCCCAAAATGGCCCCAAGACGGCCCAAGAGGCGTCTAAGACGGCCCAAGAGGCCCCAAAGGCGGCTCCAAGAGGGGGCCCAGATGGGGAACCCGAACAGACATTTCGAGCCCTCGGCCCCGAGGGGGCCCCAGGAGGCCCCAAGCGGCCCCCAAAAGGCCCGTCAAAGGCCCCCAACAGGCACCAAGAGGCCCCCAAGAGGCTCACAAGAGGCCCCCAAGAGGCCCCAGAGGGGCCCCAAAACTGTACCCAAGAGGCTCTCGAGAGCGTTCCGAAGAGACCCCAAGAAGCATCTCGGAGAACGCTGACCCACGACCCAGGCGCAGTGGCGGGATGGGTCGAAGGCCAGTACATCCGCCGCCCCCTGCTGGCTTGCCACGGGGGTGCCAGGCGTGCTGAACCCTAGACGGGATGGTTTGCTTCTTTTTCACATGAACTCTCCCTGGGGCTTCGGCCCGTCCCGCTGGCCACCCGAGAGGCCGCACAAGGCCGGGAATTCTCACCAAAAAACCACAAGACGGCTCAAAATGGCGTTCAAGACCGCCAAGATGGCCCAAGATGGTCTCCAAGATGCCTCCAGGATGTCCAAGATGGCCTCCAAGACGGCTAAAATGGCCCCAAGATGCCTCCAAGACGGCCCAAGATATATCCAAGACGGCATAATATAGCCTCAGGATGATCCACGACAGCCCAAGAGGCCCCCATGAGGCCCCCGAGACGGCCCCAGAGGCCTCCAAGAGGTCCTCCAGGAAGGCTCGAAGAGGCCCAAATCAGGTTTTTGACGGATTTTGTCATTTGCGCCTTTTCTGTCTTCAGACGGCCCAAGACGGCCCAAGAGGCCCCCAAGGTCGCCCCAAGATCGCCCAAGAGGCCTCCAAGACGGCCCCATGACGGCCCGAGAGGCCCCCAAGACGGCCCCAAAAGTGCCCCAAGACGGCCCCAGAGGTCTCCAAGACGCCCCTAGAGCACCCCAGAGGTCTCCAAGATGGCCTCCAAGACGGCCCTAGAGCACCCCAAGAGCCCAAGAGGGCCCCGAGTCGGTTCAGAGAGGCCCCCTAAGACGGCTTCCGACGGCGTCCGACGGGCCAGGAACCCACCAAGACGGCCCAAGATGATGGCTCTAAGATGGCCCAAGACGGCCCAAGAGGCCCCCAAGAGGTCTCCAAGACGGCCCAAGAGGCATCCAAGAGGGCCTCCAGGAAGGCCCGAAGAGGCCAACATCATTGATTGTCCTCCGGTTTTTTCCTCCGGCTCCCGAGACGTCCCAAGAGCCCCGAAAGATCTCCCAAGAGGCCTCCAGGATGGCCTCAGAACGGCCCAAGAGGCCCCCAAGACGGCCCCCAGACGGCCCAAGAGGCTTCTAAGACGCCCAAGATGGCTCCCAAGACGGCCCTGGAGCACCCCAAGAAGACTTCAAGTCGGTTCAGAAAGGCCCCCAAGACGGCTTCTGACGGCGTGAGACGGGCCAGGAATGCCCTGAGACGGCCAAAGAGGCCCCCGAGAAGCCCCCGAAGGCTCCCAAGAGACCCAAAGAGGTCCCGAAGATGCCTCCAAGAGGCTCCCAGGAAGCTTCCAGGAGGCCCCAGGATTGCACCCAGAGGCTCCCAAGATGCTCCCTCCTCCTCCTCCTCCTCCTCCTCCTCCTCCTCCTCCTCCTCCTCCTCCTCCTCCTCCTCCTCCTCATGATCTTCCCCGCCATCCTCCCCCAAAAGATCCCCGAAGGGTTTCCAAAACGGTTGGGGGGGGCACATGGTTGGTCCGATAGCTTGGCAGAGCTCTTGCCACAACGCTCGGCCACATGGGCAATTTCAAAAGGCAGGGGGCGGCAGTGATTCGCCATAGGCGTCTTCGATCGAATATCTTTATATGTTTGTTTTGTCTCTCTCTCTCTCTCTCTCTCTCCCTCTCTCTTTCTCAAGAGATCGCACAATCAGTGCTCTGGCGGCGCGACTGCAGGCCTCGGGTGCACGTGCAAAGCGAAGGGGGGCCGCGCCTGCGAGGAGGGCACCACCGTGGGCTCGCTGCTGAAGGTGGCCCTCTCCGTCGGCAGCGTCGGCACGAGGTCCTGCCGCAGGCAGGTGGAGGGGGGGGGGGGGGCGCTCACGGGAGAACGGGTAGACAAATATGAAGCGGTGACAACGACCACGACGACGACGACGGCGAGGAAGTGAAGGGAGGGGGCCCCGGGAAGAGAGGGGGGAGGGAGAGGAGGAGGAGGAGGAGGAGGAGGAGGAGGAGGAGAGGAGGAGGAGGAGGAGGAGGGGGAGGAGGAGGAGGAGGAGGAGGAGGAGGAGAGGAGGAGGAGGCGAAGGAGGAGGAGGAGGGAGGAGGAGGATGAGGAGGAGGAGGAGGAGGAGGAGGAGGAGGGCGTGGAGGCGTAGGAGGATGAGGAAGAGGCGGAGGAGGAGGAGGACTCTGCCACAACAGGAGCTCGACCACAGGAAGCCTTCCGCAAGAAACCCAACCCCGAGACCCCAAGACGTCTATGGATATTTTGGTGCGGGAACGTCGCGCTTTCCATCGCAGACCACGGAGGCCCAAGAAACCCAGGGCACCCTGGAGGCAAGCAAGGTGTTCCTCGGCATGGGCTTCCACTGCACGGTGACGCCACCCTGGGAAGGCGCACGTCCAGCCCACGCAATAGAAGGCTGCTCTGCTGGGCTTCAGCGGGGGGAGAGGGGCTCGGAAGTAGAGTAAGAGAAAACGGCATAAACATAAACTTATGGCACTCGGTGCGGATTTCTTGGATCTGCGCTGGGCCCCCCTCCCTGGCGCGCGGAGCGCGTCAGGGGCGGCGCTGGAGGCGCCGCCGGGGGGGGGGCCAGCCCAGATCCAAGAAACCCGGGCGGAGCGCCAAAAGTTTATGTTTATTCCGTTGCTTCTTCTTCTTCTTCTTCGAGGACGGGGCGTCCTCTTTCTTACTTCCGCCGGCATTCACCTGGCCTTCCGCCGCCCTCGGCCTCGTCTTGCGTAAGCCGACGTCCGCTGGCGAGCGCCGCGGTGAACATTCGAGGAACTTTTCCATTGGGCCGAGGCTCGTGCGCCACCCTGGGAGGCGCACATCCGAACCGAACAAAACATCTTATACAGTCAACCCGTGTAGCAAGGATACGCAACAAGGATGCAGGGGCCTTGGAAGGCCACGTCGAAGCTTTTCGAGCGGGGCGCGGCCGACGAAATTGGCCAAGGATGGGCCGAAGAGGCAAGTATGCAAGGGTACCCTTGAGAAGGTTGCCCATCCTTACTATGCGGGCTGACTGAAGTACATCGTTGCCCAGGCTGTATGGCCAGAAAGCGCTCGCCAACAAGCATGTGCTATGAGATTTCTGAGCGCGCGCGTCGCTCCTGGGGAGCTGGCGCGCACACACACACACAAAGTGTAAGCATGTTTGGGTGATGCCGAGCTGGTGCCACGCGCAGACGTCGGCAGGCGTCATCGAACCGACCGACCCGATGTAACCGTCGACAGCTCTGTCCCCATCGGCTTCTGAGCTATTGTGAGCACACTGCACAGAAGGCCGATCGGAGTATCAGGGGGGCCTAGGACGCCGCAGTTAAGTCCCGACCTCCGAGGCCCGCCGGAACTATCTAAAAGCCTCCGCTCACCCAGACCTCCGACGACTCGACTTCTCAGAGGCGCCGGCCCCTTCCCAGGGACTGGCACTTCATTCCGATCTGTTCCTGGACGCCCCTGGGGCCTAGAAACGACCCACAGACGGCAAAAAATACGAAACAAATCTGGCGCGACTTTTGCCAAGTCGCCCGAGGCCTGGGAGAGAGAGCGAGAGAAAAGCCGTGCACGTCAAAGCTGCATTGGCAGAAAATGGTGAGACACGCTTCACCGACACCGACAACGACGCCGACACCGACGCCGACGACGACGACGCCGACGCCGACGCCGACGCCAACCCGACGCAGACGACGACGACGACGACGACGATGCCGCCGACGACGACGACGACGACGCCGACGACGCCGCCGACGCCGACGCCGACGACGACGCCGGCGCCGACGCCGACGCCGACGCCGACGACGACGCCGACGCCGACGACGCCGACGCCGACGACGCCGACGCCGACGCCGAAGCCGACGCCGACGCAGACGACGCCGACGCCGACGCAGACGCCGACGCCGACGACGACGGCGGCGCCGACGCCGACGCCGACGCCGACGCCGCCGACGCCGAAGCCGACGCCGACGGCGACGGGGACGCCGACGCCGACGCCCGGACGTCGACGCCGACGCCGAGCCGACGCCGCCGCCGACGCCGACGCCGACGACGCGACGCGACGCGACGCCGACGCCGACGCCGACGACCCGACGACGACGCCGACGACGACGACGCCGACGACGCCGACGCCGACGCCGACGCCGACGCCCGACGCCGACGCCGACCGACCGACGCCGACTACGCCGACGACGACGACGACGACACGACGACGACGACGACGACCGACGCCGACGGCGACGGCGACGGCGACGGCGACGGCGACGGCGACGGCGACGGGGACGCCGACGCCGACGCCGGACGTCGACGCCGACGCCGACGCCGCCGACGCCGCCGCCGACGCCGACGCCGCCGCCGACGCCGACGCCGACGCCGATGCCGACGCTGACGCCGACGGCGACGGCGACGGCGACGCCGACGCCGAAGCCGACGCCGACGCCGACGCCGACGCCGACGCCGACGCCGACGCCGACGCCGACGCCGACGACGACGACGACGACAACGACGGCGAGGGGGAGGGGGAGAACGAGGTCTGGGAATATGGGCGAGAACAGCCGCTGTTTCCGGCACGACGCCACTGTATCGTTGGCAGCCGCAGGCAGCCCTGGGCTCACTGCTCCGCCGGTGCGGGGCTGAGACGTCGCCCCGACGAGCGACGGACGAGCGAGGGAGGAAGGGGAGGAGGAGGAGGAGGAGGAGGAGGAGGAGGAGGAGGAGGAGGAAGAGGAGGAGGAGACGGGGGAGGCCTGGGGCCTGGCGCTGACTCGGCCGTCCCCTCGGAAATGGGCGCCTGCGTGAGCCGACTAAATCTGGCGCGGCGACCTGGCTCCGAGACACGCGCAGCGCTGCCTGGCCGCCCGAGCCGCCACGTGCGTCGGCTGGCGTTACTTTTCGGGTTGATGCCTCTTCCGCAGAGCGCTCTCTCCTCCCTCCCTCCCCCCCTCCCCCCCTCCCCCCTCCCTCCTCCTCCTCCTCCACCCTCCACCTCCTCCTCGTCCTCCTCCTCCTCCTCCTCCTCCTCCTCCTCCTCCTCCTCCTCCATTCCTTTTCCTTATAATTAATTTTTCCCTGTCGTACCCCGAAACCAGTTTTTAGGGCGGACCGGGCGTTTCGCCTGAGACTCCTCGCCATTTATAACGGGTCATTTTCAACATGTGGCTCTCGCCTTTCGTTTTCACAAGTTGCAAGAGCTTCACGGATTGAGGGCGGGTCGTTTTCAAAATGTGGTTTTCGCCTTAGCGCCGCGCACATTCGTTTTAAACATTTGCGAGGGTTTCACGGATTGAGGGCGGGTCGCTTTCAAAATGTGGCTCTCGCCTTAGCGCCGCGCACATTCGTTGTCAAAAATTGCAAGAGCTTCACGGATTCAGGGCGGTCCTTTTCAGAATGTGGCTCTCGCCGTAGCGCCGCGCACAATAGGCTTGACCATTCGCAAGAGCTTCACGGATTGAGGGGGGGTCCTTCTCAAAATGTGGTTTTCGCCTTAGCGCCGCGCGCATTCGTTTTTAAAGTTTGTCAGAGATTTACGGGTTCCCATGATCAGCGTACTAGAAACGGTGTTTTGGACGGATTCAACACGATGCGGGTGCAACAGTTACGTTGGTCCGCGGTGTCGAAGTCCCAACAATGGCTTTCTGGCACGATTCCAGATCGTTAGGACGCAGCAGTCAGGTTGATCCGTGGCGTGGAAATCCCGAGAACAATGTTCTGACATGCCTCAGGGTCTTCAAACGGTTCTCTTGCAACGAGGCGGTTCCCTCAATGGAAATGAACCGTTGTAAGGGGCCTATGAGGAGGGAGCGCGGAGGGAGAGTTAATTCCAACATCGTTGACGACTCTTGGGTTTACACTGGTCCTCCTCCTCCTCCTCCTCTTCCTCCTCCTCCTCCATGCCCTCCTTTTTTTCCTCCTCCTCCTCCTCGCCCTCCTCTTCTTATGTTTATTGTTCTTCCTCTTCTCAGTATTACTATTGTTCCACCTCCTCCTGCTACTCCTCCTCTTCCGACATGCCTTCTCACTATAAATAAATAACGTCTCCCTGTCGCACCCCGAGGCAAGTTCTTTGGGCGGGCCGGGCGTTTCGCCTGAGACATCATCACCATTTATGACCTTGAAGCTTAAAATTGACAACAGCTTCAGAGATGGAGGGCGCATCGTTTTCAAAATGAGGCTCTCGCCTTGGCGCCGCGCTCATTCGTTTTCACAATTTGCAAAAGTTTCACGGATTGAGAGCGGGTCGTTTTTCAAATGTTGCTCTCGCTCTAGCGCCGCGTACATTCGTTTTCACAATGTGCAAGAGTTTCAGAGATTGAGGGCGGTCCTTTTCAAAATGTGGCTCTCGCCGTAGCGCCGCGCGCATTCGTTGTAAACAATTGCAAGACCTTCACGGGTTGAGGGCGGTTCCTTTTCAACATGTGGCTCTCGCCTTAGCGCCGCGCACATTAATTCCAAAAAACTGCAAGAGTTTCACGGCTTGAGGGCGGGGCCCTTTCAAAATGTGGCTCTCGCCTAGCGCAACGCACATTCGTTGTAAACAATTGCAAGACCTTCACGGGTTGAGGGCGGTTCCTTTTCAAAATGTGGCTCTCGCCTTAGCGCCGCGCACATTAGTTCCAAAAAACTGCAAGAGTTTCACGGCTTGAGGGCGGGTCGCTTTCAAAATGTGGCTCTCGCCTAGCGCCGCGCACACTCGTTGTAAACAATTGCAAGACCTTCACGGATTCAGAGCGGCTCCTTTTCAAAATGTGGCTCTCGCCTTAGCGCCGCGCAGATTAGTTCCAAAAAACTGCAAGAGCTTCACGGATGGAGGGCGGTTCCTTTTCAAAATGTGGCTCCCG